AGTCCATAAATTAATTTTGGAATGTGTTTTTGATCCTACCACCCCTATGAAAAAAAATAATAAAAGCGCCCGCCTGGGTGCTTGCCCGCCGGTAAAATACAGGTGACCATATAAAAGAGAAGCTTTTCATTCTAGCAGCAAAATGGCTTTATATATTTTGCAAGAGACCAAGTGAAGTTAGCGACTCAATTATTTTGCAGGGGTGGCAGGATACACATATTCCAATTTTGTATAAAGTGGATTCCCTGAGTCAGTGATTTCAGTACAGTAAAACTGTCATAATGAACACCTCTTTAGTGTAGATCTGTGCCCAAAGAACACATGAGTCTATTCTACGGAACACCTGTGTATAGTGAACATTGATTCCCAGCCAGTGATTTCAGTACAGTTTAAACTGTCGCCACAATGAACGCTTATTATTTCCCTGATGAAATCCAGGTTTTTGCCTGAACAATTGTCTGGCTATTGTATTTTTGGCTGCCTAATGTCTTTCCAGATATATTTGATGCAATATTAACAATTCTGGCTGATTATTGTTATTCACTTTAGTCATGTTTGATATTATTACAGTGCATTGGGCCAATAAAAAACTTGTTGCTCTGGGTCTCGTTTTGTGAAGCGTTCCCAAAATTAAGCCCAGATGGAGGGGTCAATCTTCTTGTCAACAGACATGAGTTCAACCCGATCGAACTTCGAGTACTTCGAGTGACAGTGGCGAAAAAGGTGCGTTGTCAGAGGAAATGTGACCCAGAGTGACAAGTTTTTCATTGGCCTAATGTACTGAACTAGACAACAGCAACGCCAAAGCGTAGCAAATCCCATCGAACAGCCATGGCTGGCATTTTTACAAACAAAGTATATAGCAAAAATGGCAGCCATTTTTCAAAAATGGCCACCTTCTACCAAAAGTGTCATTAGACAGTGTGCCATGCTTATAGTATTCACATACAAAATATGAACAAAATCGCTCCACTACTTTTTGAGTTATAGTAAAATATGTTAAAATGGCGGCAATTTTTCAAAATGGCCGCCTTCTACCAAAAGTGTCATTAAACAGTGTGGCATGCTTATAGTATTCACATACCAAATATGAACAAAATCGCTCCACTTCTTTAGGAGTTATAGTAAAATACGTTAAAATGGTGGCCATTTTTCAAAATGTCCGCCTTCTACCAAAAATGTCATTAGACAGTGTGCCATGCTTATACTATTCACATAACAAATATGAACAAAATCACTCCACTACTTTTCGAGTTACAGCAAAAATCGTAAAATAACGAGTAAAGGCCGCCATTTTTCAAGATGGCTGCCATGTGCTGCTTTAATATATATATTTCTAGCTTTATTAATGTCCTATATAATTTTGTTACATTTAAAACACATGGCTATTACATTTTTACATATTGTAGCTAAATTAATGTTAAATTGTCACTAAAATTTTTAAATGAGCAGCCATTTTGAAAATCCACTTTCGAGCAGAACTTCTACCCCATAGGGTATAGGTGTACAAAATATGAACAAAGGGCCAACGGTATTTGAGTTATTGCCCGGACAGACAGACGGACAGATGGAGGGACGGATGGACAGACGTATGGATGGACGGACGGAGGCGTTCCCTAATATCCCTCCGAGCTTCGTTCGATGGGATAAAAATATCACTGAATATGACAAAAATGAATAACAATAATCAGCCATAATTAATATGGCATCAAATACATCTGGAAAGACTTGAGGCGGCAGTTATTCAAAATCTAGACAATCTTGAAATGACGTTAAATGTTCAGTTGTTCAAGCAAAAACTTGTCTTTTATTGACAGTAGAGTGTTTTTGAAAAAAGCCTATCAAAATCAATCATAAAATTAGGGATTTCGTTAAAATATTTTTTCCATGTTAGAAATTGTCTCCAGAATAAAACATGAAAATGTCAATAAGAATGGTTGTTCTATTGCAAATATAGAGTAAATAAAAACCATCATTCAACCTGTCCAGGTACTATAACATTATAGTCAAAAAATTCTTCGCGGGAAGCCCAGTTCACGTGCTACCATTAATTTATGAATAAAAAGTTCTCCATATGAGGCTGTTAGAGAAGCAGCTTTTTAAATTATGCAATTACCCCAGTAATTAAAAGTGATAAAGACTGCACCATCTATCTTATATCTAATATAATTAGAATGAAATCCTGTTACTTAGAAAAAAAATAAAATTCTAAATAATTTTTTTCTCATGCCAGAGACTTTGATCAGTGATATTATGTTTATTCAACTTTCATATTTTTGTAACTTTTCAGAAAAAAATCTACTATTTGCAAGAGATTCTTATATCAAAACATAGATCCCGGCCAGATTCTTTTGTAGTAGAATCAGTAGCTCAATAATATTTCCTCAAGATGAGACACCTCAGAAAATTTCAAATTTTAAAATGACGATTCTGGAGCCATTTCTGAAAAATATGAGACAAATCATACCTCATTCGAAGGGTCTTGTTATTCTTTACCTTTTTTATCACCAATGGCCGTTATTCAAGCAATACTGCGTTGATAAGAGGCCAAAACAGTGATATTTTATCGCCGGACTCTTGTCTGTCCAAATCTGAATGTTGCTCCCGTGGTTCCAGAAATGTGACGTCATCATTACAATGATATTTGGACACACAAGAGTCCGGATTTCGTGAAAAATATTCGCCGTATTGAAAGTCAAATAACTGCATCCATAGGTTATTTACTCGAACCAAACAAGTAGAAATAGAAAGATGAAGATCTCAGCTATAAAATAAGTGCAAAATCTGTCATGAGGAAGCAGGTACCATTTTGTAAAAGGAACATTTTTAAAAGGTGGTCATATTTTTTTGAAATTTTCCAATTTAGTGTCGTATCTTCTGTATTATTCTTTGAGCCTATGATCCTACTACAAAACGATCTGGCCAATATCTGTGTATCAAAACAATACTTTAAAGAGTATTCAGACTCAACTGGAGTTAAAAAATAAGGTGAAATGTACACCAACTCAGTGAGTCAAAACTGGAAGTCAAAAGAGTAACCGCACTTTTAGTCTAATAAATGAATAATGAAAAATTGGTCTAAAATATTTTTCAGATGCTGTCGGTCGAAAAATCCATTTTCTCATTGGGCCGTATTCTTAAGTGTTTCGCCCAAATATAAAAATTTGGTCTATGACTTATATACACCTCCTTCCTTTCGTCAGAGAGCTGAGTAGAATTGTCCAAATATACTTTCTTCTGATTAATCCTCTAAATTTCAAACGGTGGATGATTCTAAAAAATCTCGTGACATGACAAGTCATTATAGTTTGTAAACTTGACCATCATACTTGAGATTGTTATATGTACATGTACATGTTACATGTAATTACATTTATTATGTTGTGCGAAATTGCAATTGTTTGTAAACTGGATCACATTTGAATCTGTTTATTTATAATTTTGGATATTTATCACCCCTTCAAAAATTTGACTATAGTTCATTCATGGAATTCTAGCAAATTCTTGGAACTCTGACGTCACTTGAACAGAGGGTGAGAAGAAACTTTTCTCAAGAAAATGGCAGAGTTTCTTACTGCACTTGGATCCAATTTCGAGAATCTGCCTACTGCGAATAGGCACACATTTGACTTCAAAAAATAAGTTTATATATTTCCTTGATTTTGGAGTCAGTTTATCAATAAATATCACATACATGTACCTCAAACAATGCGTACTGTTGTTAGCTTCATTTACAATCACTAAAACCACACATTCAAGAAAGCGTCTGTTGATAAAAGTATGAAATAAGTGAACGAATAATTAATGGAGTCCTTCAACTTTATCCGTTGTTCAAACAACATCGGTCACTGCCGGAAATTACCGAAGCAGTCCATTATCTTTACACTCTGAAAATTTGAAATAAATGTACCGGGAAAATTCGATTTACAGCGTCAATAATTTATATCATGCAATCGTTAGAACTAATACATAAAGAAGAGATTACAGGGTAAATATTAATCACTCAATGTTTGATAGATGCAAAAGTTAAAGGTCAGTACGAGGGTTATACTTTCGGGTGGTCATTTTTTGGATGTGTCATTTTTGGTTGGTGTCTTATCTTCTCATTTATTCTTTGAGCCAATACCATAAGGGGCTCTTCACTGTATGCGCACTGACTGTGGACGAGATGCTTGAATCACTGAAAGTTGTATCAAGTCCTTTTTGGGCCTTTATTGGGTCCCCCCCCCACCTCTCAGAACAGATGAATACATCTGTTCTGAGAGGTGGGGGGAAACCTAGACTATATCCTATTTAGTCTGAATTATATTCAGACTATAAGGCACCTATGTTAAAGTTTGGTAATTCCAAATATTTGTTTACATAGGAAGTGCTATTCAAAATGGCCGATTGGGTAAAATTAATTTGCACATTTGTTACTTCAACTAGCTTTATTTCCACTTGACAATATGCTGTGTTACTTTTTATTGCATTTAATTGTACCTTACTATTTAATTGATATTTTGTAATGTTTATTTTATTGAAGAAATGGTTCCTCTAATTGATAATTTTGTGCAAAAAAATTCACTGCAATTTCCACAGGAAAGTAGTACATCATAACAGACTGACTTCTAGTCAGTCTGTTGGATACATACTAGGGGGAAACCTAAAGGCCCAAAAGGACTTGATACAACTTCCTGTGGCTTGAATATGAAGAAAAATGTGGACACATACGGTTATTGTACCTCCTCGGGGATTCTCCTAATGGCAGTTGTTCCAAGAATGTTGTTGTTGTTCCATTTAGTCCACACATAAGTGAAGGTTCCTCCGCGATCGATTGCAAATTGAAACATTTCCACGCCGGCGAAAAGTGCTGAACTGCAGTACTTGCAATTTTAGTCTCGCGAGATTTGGAAGCCGATTGACAAAATGTAAACTAAAGTGTATGATTTTCAGTTTGTAATTCATCATATTAATATAACACACATCATATATTTATGGTGTGGGTATACTCAGGAAAATCATGGCTCTTAAAATCATCAGTAGACTCCAGATTCTTCGATCTAAATGAAGTAGGTCACATACGTGAACTTGCGAGATCCAACATGGCGGACATGGAATTTTTCGGACCTAAGTTTTAGAATTAATGGTCGTAAACCTTGAACATTAGGCGAATTCAAAGTAAACTTAGTGTATTTAGTATACCAGATTAGTACTGCATATGTTGAACTAGGAAACACTAAAGACTTCGCAGCTGTATATGGTCCATTTGAGGTATTATAAAAATTCTTCGTTTTTCAATTGCACTTTCAAGACATATGATGAAACATTATCGCATCCTACGACCCCTTTAGATTGTGGTCGTACGCCCGATTCATTGGTAAGCCTGTCTTCCTACAATGTCGGAGAATGAAATATGCATTGCACACATAAATGACCTACCTTGATACATTCCAGATTATTTTAAAATTCTTTTTATGTTGTTAGATCGCCAATTGTATGGGTTTATTGGCAGAACGAAGAGATTTTAGTTTTTACATCGGAAATATGTCAGCAATTTTCAAAATGTCGGAAGGGGAATTCCCCAGGGATTTCCCTTATGACTGGTGCATGCCGGGAACTGAATGGAGGAATTTGACGGTTGAAATAAGTTAAATATTACACGCAAATATTGCTATCAAAAATGAAAATATCTTCGTTCTGCTGATAAACCCATACAATTTGCAATTCAACTATATAAAAAGAATTCTAAAATACTCAGGAATGTATCGAGGTAGGTCATTTATGTGTGCAATGCATATTTCATTCTCCGACATTGTAGAAACACAGGCTTACTAATGAATCGGGCATACGACCACAATCTAAAGGGGTAGTAGGATGCGATAAGATGAAACACTTATTCTAGTGAGAAGTTCATATGGTCAAAATAACGAAATAATGAAATGTTACTGAAACAGGGTTTAGGTTTTCATATACATCAAATTTTGGTACAACTTCATTTTTATATCACATTGATTTAGGTTTTAAGATATATGTTATTGTTCTATACATTTGATGTACATCATTTCTATTCTTTATTCTCCTTAAGGCCACTTGCACTCAATACGTGATATCATTCATAAATAACATTAAAATCTTGGCTCTTTTCATATTGTTATGTCTTTTCTATCAGGAGAGTTCCAATTCCCATAAAGGAGGATTTTTTAGTTCAGGATATTCTAGTGTATTACATAATCTACTTGGCTTTCTATTGGTTCAAATGTTGGTTCCTTATGGGAACCAACATTTGCCTCCATTTAGAGGAGGTTTAGGAAGTCCAGTAGATTTAATTTGATATTATCTTTAATTTGTTCATTATTGGTTCATTTATTTGGTAATTATGGGAAATTATTATTCACCTCCTTTTTGGAACCTTCCCTGTGGAACTTTCCATACTTTCGGACTTTTCTTGATTATCATCTCAGAATATCATGATCAGAACAGTTTTAACTACGGCACAACATACTGATTAAACTAAACTCAATGTAAAGATTGGATTTTGATAATGAAATAATAAACGTTTAGGACTTCAACTTTTAGGAATTTTATGTTACTTCATTCGAACCTTAAAAAACTGTTTCATTGGCGCCGTTGCCTGGATATAATTAAGTTTTCCATAACTTAATTTTGGATTCAACTTCAACTAATTTGGAATTTCTATCACTATTGGATTTATATTGGATTATCATTGCCATTGGAATTAAGTTGGATTATCATCTCTAATTGGATTATCATTATTGTTGGATATAAATCAGATAATCAATAGTGTTGGATTAGTACATCGGGTAACTATATGCATTTAATTGTAAACTATTGTTATGGCTAAAACACATACATGTAGTTGGATCACATATGAATTAGAAATTATTAGTGGAATGTTTACCGACACCTAACAATCATAATGTTCATGGAGTAAAAAATCTAGTCATGCTTCCCCCACTTAAAATTACGGGAAGATGGCATTCAAAACGTTTATGGATATTGCATATTAGTCACGATGTTTTGCCCTTGATATTGTGTTATAAAGAAGTCAAAAGTCACTATAACCTTCAATAAGAATGATTTTTACGAAAATGGCATATGAATATAAAATTCATCAAGTTGGAGTTAGAAATTCTGACAATTTTGCACCAGCAGTTAGGTCAGCTGCACTCATTAGCCCGTTGACAGTAATCTTTAAAGATGGATTACTACACATAAATTGTTTGGACATGGAAATTGGATATTGAATATAAACTGTTTCTCATTGTAAATATGTATATAAACTGAATGTTTAAAATGCTTGTAAGCTGCTCATAAAGAATATTATAACCTTATATAAACAATTGCCACATGTGGTGATAATGAAAAATGTAGGATGACGCATATTCATACTTATCGTGAGCTGATACACTAAATGGGAGAGCTATAATGCCAGAGTTTATATTCGTAGACATCCCATACCCAGGAGATGTTAACTGTAATGCCAGGGAGTGCATTCGTTGATGTTCGTACCTCCGGGAAGTATTTTAATGCCAGGTAGTGCATTCGTAGATGTCCCGTGGCCCAGAGAAGTAATCGTAATGCCAGGTAGTGCATTCGTAGATGTCCCGTGCCCCAGAGAAGTAATCGTAATGCCAGGTAGTGCATTCGTAGATGTCCCGTGCCCCAGAGAAGTAATCGTAATGCCAGGTAGTGCATTCGTAGATGTTTGTATCCCCGGGAAGTATTTTAATGCCAGGTAGTGCATTCGTAGATGTTCGTATCCCCGGGAAGTATTTTAATGCCAGGTAGTGCATTCGTAGATGTTCGTATCCCCGGGAAGTATTTTAATGCCAGGTAGTGCATTCGTAGATGTCCCATGCCCCAGAGAAGTAACCCGTAATGCCAGAGTGCAGTCGTAGCCGTCCCGTGTTCCATGTTACCCATGATAGTGTATCAGTGCATGTCTCAACCAAAAGATGTACTTTTAATGCGAAGATAATGTTGCAACAGATGTATCGTTCCCCAGATGTCACCATGATGCCCAGAAAGTGCAACCATACAAGTTTAGTGAAATGAATGTGAGATATACAAGAAAACATATTACCCAATAGTGCATCACATTGCTTGAATATTAAAATGCAAACTGCTGCAAGATGTTGACAAAATACAATGCTTGGATATAGCAAATGTAAACAAGACTTATGGATATATAATGGATTATGCTTGAGCGATGAAGAAGGATGGATTATTAAAATACTGACCATAGAAATCAGCCCCTTGATATATATTTTATAATATTTTGAATATCAGTGCTTAGAGACAACACATAACCATCATCAAAACAAAACTATTGTGAGAGAGGACTGACAACTAGACCCTGATTAAAAACATTGCTTACAATACATTTACTACAGTGTAAACTAAATCAGGCAAGGGTAAAATTCAAATGATTAAATCATAGTAAATCTGATCAAGTATGAACATAGAAATGTTTTGTATGCCTCTGGTATGAGATTTTAGGGGTTATATAACAGGTTATCACGGTTTTTCATGTTGAAGTGGGTGCACACATTTCTGCATGAAAATACTGGATACCTTTTATTCTTCAAGATAAATTTGATTTTCTTGATAAAATTACATTTACTTTCTGGTTGTTCGATTCAATTTTTGTAGTCAAGTTAGGTCTGATTTAAGATATTGAGATTCTAATTGTCGTCGGGAATTTTATTGAATGTCAAGGACCAATTCTATGTGGTTATGATTCTATGCTATTTCCTTTAGTCAGTGGATGCTATATATGCGGTAAACTTACATCTGAATGTGTACATATTAGGGGAGGTTAAAGGCTATTCTAAATAATTTAGCACTGAACCATTTAGAAAATATGAAAGTTAATGAAAACCAATATCAGTATAATTAATGTGACATGACAGTTTCTCAGTTTACCATAGTTGGTCAAGTTCTGTAACGAATCCCTAAACTGAAAATAATTCAAGCTATTGTATCTGGTTCAAATAATGTTAATTTTATAGTGATCTAAGTTAAGGAAGAATTTCATATTAATTTGTTTTAAAAGTATGTCATGCCAATGCTTTAGGCAAGAACATTTTATACAGAAAAATTATCTTACCTAACAATGAATTCAATTTGAAGAATCGCTAATGGCTGCTTGTATGTAACTTTGCATAATGCATATGTATGGCAAGTTTGGAATAAGAGGCTAGAGGTGAAATATTGTTTTTATTCTGCTGTCCTGTTGCTTGGCAACTTTCTTAAATAATATAAACATATTCTACTAAGATTGGATTTTGATAATGAAATAATAAACGTTTAGGACTTCAACTTTTAGGAATTTTATGTTACTTTATTCGAACCTAAAAAACTGTTTCATTACCACGTGTCTACTTAGCAGTTTGTTCTATGTCATCCATCCTGCTAGGTTACACTGTGGAATGCAGCCAAACAGGACATGAAGGCAACAACAAAGGGATCTTGATCTTAGCAGAATTTTTGCAAATTTAGATCGTCCATTTTGCAAGCTCACGTGACTGATCATGTCACACATGTCTGATCATGTAACATGTGTCACAGTGTCTGATCACGTGATGAGTTACTGTATCGATCATGTAACTAAATGAAGTCTCACCCAACCATGTCTTCAAGGAAAACAGTAGTAAATATTTTGGAAAATGAAAGAAACTGCTAAATTGTATTTTTAGTCTGCTTATTGATCTATTGATTCATAAAGACCTGAAATGATGCATTCAAATAAGACTGCCTCCTAAATGAAAATACTACACGTAAAGTGGTGAAAAACAACGAACTAAAGTTGAAAGATTGCAACGTTCGCTACTTTGTTCAATTCCGGAAATCTCCAAGAGGCTGCAAATGGGAAATTTCTTAGATTTAAATTTTATAACCTCAGAATACTGCCTTCAGTGTCGTGTTTGGCTGAGTTCCACAATGTAACCTACATGTAGCAGGAGGGATGACATCTATATTACTGAAATCATAAAAATTCAGATAAAGGTGTAGCATTGCATAATCCTCATAGAACTTTCTTCACATTCTTCAGAATTACATCCTTAGACTACTATATCTTTTTTCAAGAGGCTCTTTGTCCATCAATTCCTTTGCCCTGATTTTCAGAACTGAACCCATATGTTTAGCGAAGTTGAAATCTGGACTATTTCATTTACTGTAGATTGGGTTAATTTGGCGCCCGCTTTAATTTGGCGAATTTGGCGAAATTGAAAAATTCGCCAATATAAATCTTCGCCAAAATTTAGAATGAATTCCCGGGAATTATTTAGGGTATTTCGTCCAGTGTATTTAAGTCACTTCCGGTTTAGTTTTTTCCAAAAATATGAAAAAATGTCTCTCATAAATTGGCTCAGAACTGGTCAGTCACTCATTAATACTCAGAAAAACTATAAAGGAAAAGCGTGGTATAGTAGAAACATCGATCGAGGTGCAAAATGTAAAAGATGATCTCACAAAAATGTACAAACGTGGTGAATATCGCCAGTGGTCCTCAAAAGAAAAAATGAACATAGGATTAGCCAAACATGCCCATTTACATGATGGTAATTCGCAAACAGCGCGTAAGTTCATTTAAATTTTTTTGCATATCCGCCAAATTAAATAGCCGCCAATATGCCAAAAATGACAAAATCGCCAAATTAAGTAGCGCCAAATTAACCCAATCTACAGTATATTATACTTTCTGTTGAGGGGGTGCCTTTTTCAGGCCTGTCAACTTGGGAACACCTAACATGAGTGACTTGGAAATGTTGAACACCTCCCCTCAAAATGTGGACACCTTGGTCCAAATCTGAACACCTTCATCCAAATTTTGAACACCTTGGTTTAAATTTTATTATCCCATCGAACGAAGTTCGGAGGGATATAGGGAACGCCTCCGTCTGTCCGTCCGTCTGTCCGTCCGTCCGTCCGTCCGTCCGTCCGTCCGTACGTACGTCCGTCCGTCCGTCTGTCCGGGCAATAACTCAAATACCGTTGGCCCGATTTTGTTCATATTTTGTACACATATACCCTATGGGGGTAGAAGTTCTGCTCGAAAGCCGATTTTCAAAATGGCCGCTCATTTCAAAATGGCGGCCATTTTAGTGCCGATTTTACAGTAATTTAGGTGCAATATGTAAAACTGTAATAGCAATATGTTTTAAATGTAAAAAAATTATAAAGGACATTAATAATGCTACAAATGTAGATATTAAAGAAGCGCATGGCAGCCATCTTGAAAAATGGCGGCCTTTACTCGTCATTTTACGATTTTTGCTGTAACTCCAAAAATAGTGGAGCAATTTTGTTCATATTTGGTATGTGAATACTATAAGCATTGCACACTGTCTAAAGACACTTTTGGTAGAGGGCGGCCATTTTGAAAAATGGCCGCCATTTTAACGTATTTTACTATAACTCGAAAAGTAGTGGAGCGATTTTGTTCATATTTGGTATGTGAATACTATAAGCATGGCACACTGTCCTATGACATTTTTGTGAGAAGGCGGCCATTTTGAAAAAAATTTTGAAAAATGACCCCCATTTTAACATATTTTACTATAACTCGAAAAGTAGTGGAGCGATTTTGTTCATATTTGGTATGTGAATACTATAAGCATGGCACACTGTCCTATGACATTTTTGTGAGAAGGCGGCCATTTTGAAAAAAAATTTGAAAAATGGCCACCATTTTAACGTATTTTACTAGAACTCGAAAAGTAGTGGAGCGATTTTGTTCATATTTGATATGTGAATACTGTAAGCATGGCACATTGTCTAATAAAACTTTGGGGAGTAGTGGGCCATTTTGAAAAATGGCCACCATTTTTATGTGTGTTATTTTACAAGTACGTGTGCGATTTTTCAAAAATTTTAGAGGTGGCTACTTAAAAGCATATTATTTCTTCTGATGACACCTTGGCAAGTGAGCAACCATTTTGAAAATGGTGGCCTTTCTGGTGTGTTGTTTTATGATATTTGCTATTCGTTTGTAAAAATGCCAGCTATCTCTGTTCGATGGGATTCGCTACGCTTTGGCGTTGCCGTTGTTCTGGTTACATCTTGCCAAATTTTGAACACCTCAAATTTTTCGCCCTCGCTACGCTCGCGGTTGAAACATCCATCAAGGGGGGGGGGGATGAAAAATTTCGAACGGAATGCGTGACATATACGTCATTCGCGTGAAAAGTCCGAACGAAATGCGTACAATTTTTTTCGGCATTCGTATTTTTGCTGTGTAGACGAACTTTTTTAGAAATTTTTCTACAGCAATAATTTTGCTTGACAATTACCAGGTAAAATGCGTATTTGCGTGCCATTTTCTGTCACGCAAAAATAACTGGCGTGACTTCAAATTCTTCAGCAAATGCGTGACAAATACGCAAATTGCGGGACAGTTGACAGGCCTGCTTTTTACACCCTATAGATGATATTGTGAGATAGTAATGTTCAAAGCATCCAATATAAACTTTATCCAATATTTTAAAACACATTTCCATGTGGATAATTCATTTTTGATGGGACTCGAGCCACACATAAAAAGCCTTTTGAAGCCATCACTGATCAGTGTTGTGATGCACTCTCCTGGGTTTCAAGAATTTGCATAACTGATATGTTTGATGCCCTACGACATCTGACTTTACTGTTGTCAAGGTGTTCTGGTGTGATTATTGTATTATCCTCATTTTACAATTTTATGAACATGTTATGACTTATCTAGATGTAGTATCTGGTAAATATATTAACTCAATTCATTTTTGGGATGATAGTGGAACGAGATACTGTACTCCCACTAATATTGCTGCTATTATATTAGAACTGTAGGAATCTTGCGGCTATTATATTTTGTGAGTTTTCCAAAGCTTGCGAAATAGAGTAGCGCGCGGAGATTACCAGGAGTACAGTATTACAATTATTAGCTTTCCATTTACAATACAATCTTTTTGAGGTCATCCATGAGTGGAGACATGTTTACACATTTGTGTTCTTGTGTGTATTTCAGATGTGTCAGGTACCAGATGTGTTAGGTGCCAGATGTGTCAGGCACCATTGACAACAAGCAAACAACAACAAGCATTGTATGGATAGTATTATATAACAAGATGGACTTTGTAAAACAAGAAGGGCTGTGTAATAAAACTGAAAATCTTGGAGAACAATGTGGGGCCAACGTATCAACTATAGATCCACAAATGGTTAAACAAGAGCCTGTTGAAATAAAAGAAGAAGTAGCACAAGGACTCACATGTCATGATCTACCTAGATATGATGGAAGGGTAGATAGTATCAATATTGTGAATCACTCAAATTTCAAAAAAGAAAATTTGGACCAATTTGACAATCAGTTTGGTAATTCTGTATTTGCTATTAACTCTGAGCAATCAGCTATACAGATTGACAATGATACAAAAGCAATACAATCACTTATTAAACAAGAGTATTTGGAACATGATGGCAGTGAATTTGGAAACTCTGTATTTGCTGTTAAGTCTGAACAATCAGCTATACAAACTGGCAATGATACAAAAGCAGCACATCCGCTTACTAATCAAAAACATATGGAAAATTATGCAGGGGGGACATATTTTAGATGTGAACATTGTGAAACATGTTTTAGTCAATATAGTAATTTAAAGACACATGTGAGAACTCACACAGGAGAAAACCCCTTTCAATGTGAACATTGTGAAAAATGTTTTAGTCAATATAGTAATTTAAAGAAACATGTGAGAACTCACACAGGGGAAGGACCTCATAGATGTGAACATTGTGGAAAATGTTTTAGTCAGTCTAGTGATTTTAAGTCACATTTGAGAACTCATACTGGAGAAAGACCTTTTAAATGTGAAAGTTGTGAAAAATGTTTTACTCATTCTAAAAGTTTAAGGGTACACATGAGGAGGACTCACAGAGAGAGGCCTTTTAAATGTGGAAGTTGTGAAAAATGTTTTAGTCTGTCTAGTAGTTTAAAGAGACATGTGAGAACTCACACTGGAGAAAGACCTCTTAAATGTCAGTATTGTGGGAAATGTTTTGGTCAATCTGCAGATTTAAAAACACACATTAGGATCCACACTGGCGAAAGACCCTTTAAATGTGAACATTGTAATAAATGTTTTGCTGATTTCAGTAATTTTAAGAGACACATGAGAGATCATACTGAAGAAAAACCTCTTGGTCAGTACATGTTTATTGAAGGAATTAATAAATATGTTTATGTGACGATGTAATAGATAACTCCATATACATATAAGTCAATGATCAATAATTATTCTGCTTTGCATTTCCCTTAATGCAATGTTATTGTACTATTGTATTGTATTCTTTATTTACCTCTTATTATTACTCACTGACTACTGTTAATGATTTTTGTGTTTTTCAAATCCTATTGTGTCCTGGAATCATGTTACTTTATATTAGTTATATGATCTTTTTATAATATTTCACAATACTGGCAATTTAATTTTATCTGTTTTAGCTTCAGATTAGAGCTGTTTTTAGACATGAAATAAAGGAACCAAATGTGAAAGCTTTTTCGACCAATCAAAATAAAGGATGGCTCTTGGGATATATGTGGCATACACTGTATGGTGCCTGTTGATCTGAATGTACATGTACAATGTACATCCAGAGCTCACATGGTGAGGCTCAGACGTTTTATCTAGACCCTTCTTTCACACCAAATTCTCAAACTTTCAATGAGCACTAATTTCATCTGTTTTAGCCTCAGATTAGAGCTGTTTGAGCACTTGGGATATATGTATCATACACTGTATGGTGCCAGTTGATCTGAATGTACATGTACAATGTACATCCAGAGCTCACATGGTGAGGCTCAGAGGTTTTATCTAGACACTTCGTCCCATTATTTCCACATTTTTATAACTCACTTTTTACAGGTTTTGAGATAAGTATACCATCTTTCTCAAATTTTCACGAGAAATTCATTTCTGAGGTCGATTTCAATGGATCTCATCTCCTTTTGGAGATATCAATCAAGTGCCACATTGTTATAAGTGCAAAATGAGGAAAAAATTTAGGCCCACCTTGTCATATCCATTTGGGTACGCAGTAGAGCCAATCAGATCCATAATTTTGATCATGTGACTAATAGTTATGACAATGTGGAAATAATGGGACAATCACTTACTAGTATGCTTTGCAGGTAATTAACAAATGAGATCATAAATCATGACAGTCCATACATGTAGTGCAAACAAAAGAAAGCAGATTTGACATTATTTAATTGTAACGAAAAAAATTCATTCAGTGAACTTAATCAATTACTGATCCTGTTATAGCCTTTTTACCTTTGTCATGTACCTTTTAAAGATCTTGTGGATTCATCCAAAGTATTTACAATTTGTCGCACTTAAGTTGTGTTGTTATGGCAACCACTTGACCAATCATGTTAAAACTTGTCATAGCAACTAATAATATATAGATACATGATCCCTAGAAATATGAACGTGATTGGAGGTATATAACAGAAATTATTGATGATTATCATAGTACCCCCTCATAAAAGTAGCCAGTGGGGTATAAATGGCAATAATTCGCAGATGCTGAAAAACTAGACCCTATTATTTTCAAAATCAATGAGAAATGATATATTTCACATAATTAACATAATTTGAAAAATGCAATCCCGTAAGCAAAAATATGGACGAAGCTCATCCATTACCTTATCAGTCAAAATAGAAATCAATTCATATTCTTTATAATTAGATGGGCAGAATAATGGTATACGAGACAATAACACAATGGAAGTGAATAGAAATTCACTTTTCAGAATTATTTTGATATTTTAAAAACATGAAACCATAAAAAAAGATGTGTTTTATTTATTGTTAGTAAGTGATTTTTGCTCTGTAAGGCCTACATATACACATGATTACCTATACAAAAGATTAGTTTTTAAAAATTACTACTCAAAAATTATGAAGACCTAAACTTCAACCTCTGATTTCTCAATATCAGCGAAAATGCAATTGTAACAATGTGGAAATAATAGGACGACTTCTTTCATACCAAATTCTCAAACTTTCAATAAGCACTCACGCTTTGTATATTATCCATGACAGGTGGGCAGAAAATCAACACGATTTCTTATTTTAAATCCTATCGCACTTATTTTATGAATGTGATAAAAGTGATTTTTTAATATTTTATGACCTCTTTACATTTTCATCCCTGCCCACCTCACAATTATGAAATTAATGAGGCAAGAGGAATTTGGGAAATGAAACCCTATCAGAACCTCATTCCTCATTCTTCGAAATGAAGAAGAACCAAAAAGTGTGTAACTTATTGAATTTATATATTTCTTCTCTAATATAAATGAGGATTTTTAAATTGAATATGTGCTCGTGTTTCGTGAAAAGATAGAGAAAATATTGAGGTCAATAATTTAACATTACTAGAAATTCTCTGTAGCTAAAAATATTGCAGTGACAATTGACTGGATTTACATATTTATGTCGCTTGTAACTACTTATTCCAGTGCAATACTATCTCTTGGGGCATCTTGAATGAGTTTCTCTATCTGGACTCTGGGTTCAAGTTTTTAAAAGTTCCCTCTGTTCTTAACTTCCCTTCCAATCTGAAAAAATGATTTACTGGGTAACGCGACATTCAATCTCGTATGTCTAAATTCAGCCTGAGGTGCCGAAAAGGATTCTTTGCGAATGTATGCCTCTGCGATTAAGGTCTTTCTCATTTTGACCTAAACATATTCCGAAAATAAAAGCACTACATTATCCCTCATTAAATTAACAATATGTTAATGAAAAATAATTAAGATAGCTGTTATATTTAGAAAGTTTGACCTTAAATTGGGGGCTGCATTTTTGGATCACCCTGTTGTAGGCTAGTGAAATGCAATATTATGTAATGTTTTAAAAGTAAAGCAACAGAAACAAATGGTAACCTCATCAATTGTGCAAATTTGAAGTTTGCAATCGATTCAAAGTTATACTTTAAATTAAAAGATTATATATCTTTTCATATTTTTTCCTACAAAATGGCTTTAGAAAAATGATCCAAAAGCAATTTGGCATACAACTTTGTATAATCCAAAGATTATACTGTTATATTTCATTAATTGATAACAAAGGATAATATGTAGGGATGCGTAGGATGCAAATAGATTTTGACAGACAAAACATGTTCAGCTGTTTTAGCATCTACGCCTCTACACCTCATAATTGATCAGGTCCCCTGGTAGCATTAACATGGTCTCGTATGCAATTAATATTTGAAACAGAACTATTTTTCGAACTTATGATCGGACATAAGTATTTGTACTTCACGGTAATAAAGTAACATGTTGAAACAAATTGAATTGCCTAATGCCAATAACAGTGATATGCTTCATATTCTATGAATCCATTACTTTTAATGGTCATAAATCATAATGTGAGCATACTTGTTCTGCACCTGCTCAATTTATTAGTTCTTTTTATTGTATTATATAGTTATTTGATAACATTCTCTCAACGGTGACTTGTCATTAATAAAAAATTGACTTTCAGATTACTGATTATATTTATTTTGTCCTGTAAAGGAATTAATAGTTCGTATCAAAATATGATGCGGTCCATGGAGACTATATTAATAGTTTTTATAAAAAGCTTACCTTTCACTTAGTAGCTACAGTGTAAAAATGTAGTTTGAATCACAAAATGATTTCAGGTTATTCGTTCACCAAATGATCAATTAATTGCAAGTTTACAATAAAGGTTGAAAACATGATTTCCCGAATTCCCCTTGTTGGCATTCATCTTATTCCCCAAATGGGCAACCAAGTCTGCCGCACCAAGTATTTCAATTATTGGCCGACGTGGATTACTAGTAATTAATAATAATAATCAATCAGATAGCGCAGTAAATTTGTCAAAGGTGAAACACTATTGCAGATCACTCCCTCAAATATATATAGAAATGTTCAATATAAATATCAAATATAAGGTCCGTTTGGTTATTTTGCTATTTAGAATCCAAGACAGGACGGCAATCGGAGAATAAACACTGAAAAGAAAGTACAGAATACAAAGATGATGAAAGCAGCCATTCTTATTTTCGCTTGTTTAATTTCATTTGTTAAAATGGGAAAAGTTCAAATTTCCATCAATCTTTCCAATCGAAAGCCGGAAAAAACGGCCTATTTAAAATTCACCAATACAGAACGACTGGACACGCCACTTCAATCTTTTAAAGTGATTACGAACGGACGATGCGCAGTTACCTGCACATCAACGCCAGAATGCGCGTCGTATAATTTGCGGATGATAGACGACAAGATTTACAAAGCAGTTTGCGAATTGAATGGCCCAAGTGTAACTACCCCTATTCCTACATCTGATCGAGTAGACTATTACGAAAAGCCAGGTAAGCTAACTATTTATATTAATAGTTCACTGGTAATACACTCTTGTCCAAGGCAACACGTTAAATCACGTGATTTGCTTATGTAAAAAAGTCTGTTTTTCATGTAAAGTTGTTTTCATTTATGCTATGCTACGTTTTTTGCTGTTAGTGAAAAATGCTAGCGAACATCCCGTGAACATGTCTGGACCCCTCCAGCATTTTATAGGCAGATGTATTTCTGTAAGACAATTTCTA